TGGGAGATGGGGAGAGAAATGGGTAAAGAGTTTCAAAAGGTAATAAGAAAAAAAAAATGCCGTTGCTGTAAAACAGACAGAAAATTTGAATCATGTTAAAAATATTTTACTTTAGATATATACACATACATGTTTATATATGTGCTAATGCATATGAAATAAGTATATATAATATAAACACTAATGCATACCTAATATTTCTAAAATAATGAAAATACTATATTCTAAATCTTTAAGATGAAACCAAATATAAGTACATTCTTAGAAAATTGCATTAAAAGAATTTAAAACTAAAAGCTAAGAAAAAAAATTCAGTCATATTTCTGTACATTAGCAATGAACAATTTAAAAAGGAAATTAAGAAAACAATTTGATTTAAAATAATATCGAAATGAATAAAATGCTTAGGAATAAATTTAACCAAGGAGGCACGAGATATATATACTGAAAACTACATAACATTGCTGAAAGAAATTAAAGATATCCTAAATAAATGGAGAGACATCCCATTTTTATAGACTGGAAGACTTAATATTGTTTATATGAGAATATGCCTCAAAGCAATCTACAGATTCAATGCAATTTCTATTAAAATCTGAGTTGCCTTTTTAGAAATAAACAAGCGATCCTAAAATTCACATGGACTTGTAAGAGGTATCAAATAGTCAAAATAATTTTATAAAGAAGGGCAAAATTGGAAGACTCATACTTCCCAACTTCAAAACTTACTACAAAGTGTTAGTAATCAGAACAGTGTGGTACTGGTTTCTGGTCGCACTGGAACAGAGTTCAGAGTCCAGCATAAACCCATACATCTGCAGTCAACTTGTTTTTGACAAGGATGGCAATACTGTTCAATCGGGAAAGAAGAGTCTCTTCAACAAAGTGCTGGTACAACTGAATACCCACATTCAGAATAAAGGTGTATCCTTACCTCACACCATATACAAAAATTACCTTAAAATCACCAAAAACCCACATATAAAAGCTGAAACTATAAAGCTCTTAGAAGAAAACATAGCAGGAAAACTCCATGACCTTCAATTTGGCAAAGGTTTCTTAGATAGGACACAAAAACATGAACAAAAGAAAAAATAGATAAACTAAAATTCACCAAAATTAAAAAATTCTGCATCCAAGGACACTATCAGAGTGAAAAGGCAACCCATAGAATGGGCAAAAATATGTATTTGCAAATCATATATCTGATGAGTGTCTAGTATCCTGAATATATAAAGAACGTTTAAAACTCAACAATAAAGACAAACAACTCAATTTAAAAATGGGCAAAGGAGGGCTGGCCAAGTGGCTCAGTTGGTTAAGAGCTCGCTCAAGAGTTTGAGTTCTGAGCAGCGGCGGTTCGATTCCCAGCCCGAGCTGAGCAGCCGCTGAGCTACCAACAGGTGGCAGGATGGCTCAGCTTAAAAAAAAAAAAAAAAAAAAAAGGGCAAAGGACCTGAATAGACATTTCTCCAAAGAGGATACAAAAATGGCAAACAAGTACATGAAAAGATGCTCAATGTCATTAGATATCAGGAAAATGCAAATGAAAAACAAAGAGATACCAGTTCATCCTCATTAGGATAGCAATATTAAATAAAGAAAAAAAGAAAAAGATTAAGTGCTGACAAACACATGGAGAAATTGGAACCCTGAAGCATTGCTGGTGGGACTGTAAAATGGTGCAGCTGCTGTAGAAAAGTTTGGCAGCTCCTTATAAAGCTAAACATAGAATTATACCATATGACCTAGCAATTCCACATGTAGGTATATACTTGAAAGAATTGAAAACAGGTGTTCAACAAAAACTTGTAAATGAATGTTTAACAGCACTATTCACAATAGCCAAAAAGTGGAAACAATCCAAATGTCCATCAACAGGTGAATGGATAAACGTAATGCATTCGTACAACTGAATATTATCCAGCCATAAAAAGGAATAAAATAATAATATATGCTACAACATGGCTGAACCTTAAAAACAATGTGCTAAGTGAAAGAAGCCAAACACAAAAGGCTACGTATTATATGATTCTTTTATATGAAATATCCAGAATAGCTGAATCCGTAGCGTCAGAGAGCAGGTTAGTCATTGCCAGGAAATATGGGTAGGAGAAAATGGGCAGTAACTGCTTAATGGGTAGTTTTCTTTTGGGGTGATGACAATGTACAGGACAAGACAGTTGTGATGATTGCACAACTCTGTGAGTGTACTAAGTACCTCTGAATTGAACACTTTGGTGAATTTTATGTGCATTTCACCTCAATTTAAAAATTATTTTTAATAAAAAAATACTTTTACATGATAAAATATAATAGTCTCATATCAAGAAAGGCAAAAGAGAAAAACTGTGGTAATTTATAAAAGGTCAGTATCTGAATTATTTATAAAGGTTTGATACAAAGATACAGGATCAATTTCTAAAGTTACCGGACTAAGTGGTCAAAACTGATGCACAGTTTATATACCAAGAAATAATTACAGTAAAATTCCTCACAAAAATGAACAGGTCACCAGAAAGTAAATGCTTATTAAATCATCTTTAAGGAATCATATTCTAAATGCCCTATCAAAGGGTTAAAAAGTAAACGTGGTCAGGCCATGTGGAAATAAATAAATTTAAACATCTCCAGTGATACTGTGAAACTGTTCTACAATGTATAACAATAATCTGACAATAGACGAGTATAACAGGAGCCATAAAGCTAGTCAAATACTTTGACCTAGTAATTTCAGGTTGGGGACTACCTTTTTTTTTTTTTTTTTTAAGCTGAGCCATCCTGCCACCTGTTGGTAGCTCAGAGGCAGCTCAGCTCCGGCCAGAATTCAAACCGCTGTTGTTCAGAGCTCGCACTCATGAAGGAGCTCTTAACCAACTGAGCCACTGGGCGGGCTCCGGGGACTACCCTTTTAAAGGAATACCCAAAGTAGGAGAAGCAGGAAATAATTTGAAAAAAGGATATTCATAGTTATAACAACTAACATGAGAGAATATGAAATAATTTAAATAATCAAAAAAGTAGAACTAAATGAACTACTATTGCCTAAGCACAATGGGATATCTGCATGTGTCTCTGTGTGTGTTTGTTTGTGTGTGTGTGTGTGTGTGTGTGTGTGTGTGTGTATACACACACACAATATACATTTTAAATATATATATATATATATATATATAAAATATTTAAAATGACAAACATTAACTATTTGATAGGTTAAAATGCATGTAAGAAATAATGTCCAAGTAAATTACAAAATAGTGCTCACATTGATTTCAACTCTACATATACACTGAAAAGAATCTGGAGTGTTTAAAGTTCAATAGGCTCTTTTAAAAATGAGTTTTAGAGGGTAATAATTTCCTGGTAATTATTTTCCAATCACATTATTTGCCCAAAGATTGGTTAAAAAAAAAATACGTGTAAGGCAACAATAAAAAATGTTATACGATAAACTATAAGTTTAGAAGAAAATCTTAAACGATCAAATGAAAATATTTTATTTAGTAATACCCTCACTCTAAATCTCTTTTTGTTGAAGGTAAAAGTTTTCAGGTCAATACCCCACCAAGATTTTGAGAAATTGTTTTTTTCACTGTATTTAAAATGTTAGCCATATTCTTGTAGCTAAAAACATTTTTCATATAATACTTTAGTCAAGACATACGGATATGCTTTTAAATATCAAGGAAGGAAAGTCAATTAAAAGTACAAACTATATGTTCATATAGATGCAGATATGTGAATAACTGCCATAAGATCAATAAAAGTATCTTGAATAGATTAAAAAATGTAACACTGTGCAGTTCTCATTGTACAAGCAACCTGGGTACAAATAGCTGCCTAAACACTGCTTTGAACAGTTGTTGCCATAGAAGCCATCATAAAAAGCAAACAAAGGCAAACTGGAGCTTTTAGACATTCTGTCTGTTCAGAAGTTCAAGGGAAGAAGCCTTAAAAAGCAGAAGCAGTAAAAAGTAGAGTTGAAGGAAGCTGTCTCATATAGTTTAAGAGACACTGTCCTGCCCCTAAATCTCTCTACTACCAGAATTTTTTCTTATACTTCCTGAGAATCTACCAGAGTTATACAAATGAACAGGTATTGTCCATTTATCAAAATCAATACCTCTGAAACAATTAAGCAGTCATACTTATTACACAGTACTACGAATATGTTTAACTTCTTTCACTTCTCTCCTAAGTCTTAAATGAAGGAAACTGCAATTAGAGGGAATGAAAAAGGAAGCAGCACTGAGCCTTCCACTATGGCAATCTCCCAAGGTCTACATTTCTCTCAGAATCCATTTTTCAAAACTATCTTTTCTTCCTTCTAATCAACATTTTCATTCACTAGCCTAGTAATATATATCTTTCCTTACTTCTCAAAAAAAACCTTTACAGTCATAAGGACTAATAACGTTTTAAAAAATGAATTCACCAAAGAACAAAATAAACAAACAAAAAACAGAAACAGACTCATAGATATAGAGAACAAACTGATGGTTACCAGATGGAAGGGACTTTTGGGGGATGGGTGAAAAAGGTAGGTGCAGGGTTGAAGAAGTACAAATTGGCAGTTACAAAATAGTCATGGGGATATAAAGTACAGCATAGGAAATATAGTCAATACTGTAATAACTATGTGTAGTGCAAGATGGGTATACTAGACTAATCAAGGGGGATCACTTCATAGATTATATAAATGTCTAACCATACACTTGTACACCTGAAATTAATATAAAATAACATTGAATGTCAACTATAATTGAAAAGAAAATCAACTCACCTGAAATTTATTATTTAACATTGGTGAACATGAGTTTTCTAAGTCTTTAAAAGTTTACTTAACCTGCTTTTACAAAAATTTTATCACCATCATACTTTTTCTTTATATGCATATAGATTCATTAGAGATTATAATAATAAAGACCTTAATTGAGATTTGTAAACAAACATGTTATACTTAAATCTTTTCAGCATAATATTCATCAACTGATTCTTACTTTGCTTCAACTTATGGAAATCACCGACTCTATCCTTGGTAGCCTGTTTTAGTATTTCTGCTTGAATTCTGGGTTCACTCTCCAAGTTTGGGCCTGGAATCAAACGCTGAAAAAGATTGGAAGGGTTCTGTTTTGAAGTTCCAGGGTTTCCATTGAGGTTTCCATGAGAATCTATGACAGAAAAACATCCAGTTATGGCCATATTTTGCAGAAGAATTTTACAAGACCTGCTTTACAAAAGCTAAGACACACTGTTGTCTGATACTGGGTAGTCAGGTAGCTTTTTAAAAAAGCTTTATGCTAATTTCTTTAACCAAATCTTCTGGTTATGTAAAGTTTACTTATCAGTCCTTGTGAGCATCCCCAGTACTCATTATAAACCTAATCACCAAAGAGATATATGGCAGAAACTGAAAAACTAAAATAGCATGATACAGGTTGAATGACTCCTTTCCTCCCTCCAAATGCTATATTGCTGTCAGTAATCCCCAAAATCCAGTAAGGCTTTTAGAAGTTCCATACTCTAAGTAATTTTAATCTATCAGTAACTCAAAACTGTTAATTTTTTATTTTTTTTCTTGTTAGTATCTCCTGGATATAACCTTTCTTTCTCCCACCTCCGTTTTCCTCATCAAAGCCTTAATTCAGATCCTTATTATAATTACTTTTAATCATATCAATTCTTATTTTAGAGGAACATTTCTGTAAATTTGAACAGGTTTTCAGTAGAAAACAGATACATTCATAAGTACAGAGTAGGGAGTTTAAGACATGTGGATTGAGTAATTTATAGAAAGCCTCTGTGAGATAAATTTGAACACATTTTGAAGATTCATTTCTACAGACTGGCAGAGATGGAAGGGAATGTGGTCCAGAGTAGCAGAACAAATAATTCTTCTACTTTTAATAATCCATTAGACAATGTGCATTTTTAAATGATTACTTCTTCCTGAGCTTTTATCAGTCATTTGAAAACATGTAACATTAACTAGAAGAATGTTACTTTACTTATCCTGATACTAAAAAATGACATGTTTTATTCACTATATAAAAATACATGACCAGGAAATTGGTTTTCAAATAAAAATTTAAGAATAAAATCTTTAAAAAAAAAAAAAAGAAGACTTCATACCTGGAACCATATTTGGGGAGAGAGGTTGTCCAGTTGGACGATGGGAGATTGCTTGATGATTTGCATATTGAGAAACAGAAATAGGGGGTTTCTTTAAAACTAAAAGAAGAAAATAGATCCATATTATTCCTATTGATATGATTTCTATAAACCAACCACCATAAATCTATTTACATTGCACTAATCCTATGATGCTTATCCTAATTTTATAATCCTTACAGTTGGTATATATAAAATTAATTTGTGGTTACTAATTGATACATTGTACCAAACATCACAAATCTTGGTGATCAATAAATCTGACCAGAATATAAGACAGTAGGAACGCTGTCTTCACCACTATATTCCCAATACTTAGACTAGTATCTGGCACATAATAGGAGCTCAAGTAAGATTTGAGCAAGAAATAAATTATAGGAGCTCAAGTAAGATTTGAGTAAGAAATAAATAAATTTCTTCAGTAACAACGAGATCTTTTTATATAAATAGTGTAAATAAAAGTTGACATTTATAGATTAGGTAAAACAATGAAAATATGCTACTCCAAGTTGCTCAGTTTTTAAATGAAAACTAAATATGAGTGATGCAACAAGTTGAAATTTTATTTTTGAAGAGGAAATTTTAGTTGCACCAAGGGCTTTACTAACAAAGATGTATATACTTATAGTAGAGACTTTTTTGTCCCTTAAGAAATGAAGGCAACTGGGAAAGATAACTTTTCACTTGCTACCACTGATTCCACTGCATCTATGGGCAGCTTAACATGATAGAAAGGCAGAGAACAGCAAAGAAGGAAACTAGAGAGAGGGGAAACAGAGAAAAAAAATCAAAGCCTATCTGTAAGATATGGTTAGGGGCACATTTTATTCTTCTAAAACTTTAGTGTGGCAGAGACAATACTATGTGATCCTATTTCATTGTATTTTTCCTGGCATAGAGAAAGAGCAGCCTTCCTACAGTTAGGGGTCATACAACTGGGTTCTGACCATGAGAATGTAGGTGAAACTGAACATGCCACTTTCAAGAACGGTGATAAAATATTCTGTGCAAATTGCCTACAACCTGTCTTCCCTTTCTGCCACAACTCAGCAGGCTACAAATGGAGATGGTGGCATCAAATAATGGAAAAGGACACTGCTTGAAGAACTGCAAAGAGAGACATCTAACCTGCATCAGACTGTAATATGAACAATAAATAAATCCTGATTTTTTTAAGCCACTGCAATTTCAGAGCCATTTGTTAATACACCACAGCCTAGTAGTCAATCCTAACTAGTATACTTGGGTTATTTATAATCCTTAAAGATTATTTCAATCACTCAATTTTGTTTATTATTATATAGGCCTCTAAACTTAAGGATCCAAGTTTAAAATTCACTCTAAGAAAGCAACCCACTCAGATTTACAGAATACTGAGGTTTTCCATATCTCACTGTGTTCCCATCACCTTGTTCCTATAGCCAGCTGCAATGCCCAACACCCACTTCTTCCCACAAGACAGCTAAATAACGTCAGCTAACATCTTAAAAGAGCAGTACTTTGTCAGATTTAACAATACAATTATTTGCTAACAGACTCTGAAGACACTAAGCATCTGGTAAATATATCTGGAAAGAGAAGTCAGTCACAATCTATAAATTTGTTGATCACTGTTGGACCATCGCTGGCTCCAGCACTATACAAACCAGAAGACAAGAGAGGGCAGGGCGCCACCACTCCTAAACAAGAAGTGATCATACATGTCTTTAGCTGATATGATAATGCCTCCTGCTCAAGAACAAGGTGACTATTTGGAGGCAAAACTATGATTTACTAAGGTAGGCAAAAGATGGATTAAAAGAGCCTTTTCAAAATAACCAGTGGAGTTTAGATCTGATATATTAGAAACAGAGTAGTAATCCAGAGCCCTTATAAGTTTGTCATCAATAATACATATTCCCATAGAAAGTTTAGAAAAACAGAAACGCACAAAGAAATTTAAAGTTAGCTGTAATTTCACAACTTAAAGATAACCACTGTTACCATGTTGAGAGTATCTTTTTGATATTTGGGGTTCTGTCACCATGTGTTTGATCCCCTTTACCTTCCTTATCATTCCCCCAATCCCCTTCCCCTCTAGTAGCCACCATTCTATTATCTGTATCTATAAGTTTGGATTTTTTACTTCTTTGTATGTTTATTTTGCTTGTTCTTTTGCTGCTTTCTATTTTATATCACACATTAATGAACTCATATGATTCTTTTTCCATCCGACTTATTTCACTTAGCATGATACTCTCGAGATCCATCCACGTTGTGACAAATGGCAATATTTCATTTTTATGGCTGAGTAGTAATCCCTTGTATGTATGTACCACACCTTCTTTCAGTCATCCTTTGAAGGACTATTGTCTTGGCTATTGTGAATAATGCTGCAATGAACCTCTATCTTTATGAATAAGTGTTTTCAAATTTTGGGTCATATAGTAGCTCTATTTTTTTATTTTTTTGAGGAACCCCCACACTGTTTTCCATAGTGGCTGTGCTAACTTACATTCCCATCAGCAGTGTGAGAGGGTTCCCTTTTCTCCCCATTCTCTCCAACACTTGTTAGCTCTTGTCTTATTGATAATAGCCATTCTAATAAGTGTGAGGTGGTTATCTCATTGTGGTTTTGATTTGCATTTCCTTTATAGCTAGTGAATTTGAGCATCTTTTTAATATATCTGTTGGTCATTTGTATATCTTCCTAAGAAAAGTGTCTATTCAGATCCTTCTGTCCATTTTTTATTGGATTGTTGTTTTGTTGCTGTTGTTGAGTTGTATGAGTTCTTTATATATTTTGGCTATTAGTCTCTTAATTGGAGGTATCACTTGCAAATATCTTTTCCTTTCGGTTAGTTGCATTTTTGGTTTTTTGATGGGTTCTGTTGTTGTGCAGAGGTTTTTAGTTTGATGTAGTCCCACTCATTTATTTTTGCTTTTACTTCCCTTGACTTTGGGTTCAAGTTCACAAAAACCCTGAGACCAAGGTCTATAAGTTTAGTGTCTATGTTTTTTTCTAGGTATTTTATTGTTTCAGGTCTTATACTGAAGTTTTTAATCCATTTTGAGTTAATTTTTGTGTATGGTGTCAGACAGCAGTCCAGTTTTATTCTTTCACATGTGGCTTTCCAGTTTCCCCAACATCATTTATTGAAGAGAGTTTTCTCTCTCTATTGTATGATTTTGGCTCTTTCGTAAAAAATTAGTTGCCCACATATGACTGTGTTTATTTCTGGACTCTTAATTCTGTTCCATTGCTGTGTGTCTGTTTTTCTGCCAATACCATACTGTTTTGAATATTATAGCTTTGCAGTATAGTTTCAAGTCAGGAAGTGTGATACCTCCAGCTTTGTTCTTTTTCAGAGTCTTTTGTAGTTCCATACAAATTTGAGGATGTTTCTGTCCTATATCTGTGAAAAATGCCATTGGGGTTTTGATGGGGATTGTTTTTGTTTTTAAAGATTTTTTGGGGGGGTTGGGGGAGGGGAACAGCATTGGGGAATTGGAGAAGGGGAACAGACAAGTTGCTGTCCTTTTGTTCTTCAGTCTAGTTGTGAAGGATGTCACTTCACTGGCCCATGTTGGTATTATCATTGCGCTCTTCCCAGGTGAGGCAGTCACTCGCTGGCCATTAGACGGCCGCTTATGGCGGCTCATGGCAGCTCACGAAAGCGCACACCAGCTGCCAGCTCACGAAAGCGCACGCCAGCTGCCAGCCAGCCCCACTGCAGCCTACGCCATCACCGGCGACTCACAGCAGCCCAGCTCCAGGTCGACCTATTGTTGTTCACTGTCTTAGCTGTAGAGGGCACAGCGTCACTGGCCCTCATGTGGGATCCGAACTGGAGTCCTGGTGCTCAGAGCTGGCGTCCCAAGCCAACTCAACCAACGTGCCACTTGGCCGGCCCCAGGATTGTTTTAAATCTATATATTGCTTTAGACAATGTGGCAATTTTAACAGTGTTAATTCTTTCAATCCATGAACATGAAATATCTTTTCAGTTCTTTATGTCATTTTCAATTTCAACAATATATATATATGAAGGATATATATATATATATATATGAAGGATATATATATATATATATATATATGAAGGATATATATATATATCCTTCATTTCTTTTATTTATTCTTGGTATTTTCTCCTTTTTGTTGTAATTGTAAATGGGTTATTTTCTTAATTTCTCTTTCTGATATTTCATTGTTACTTTATAAGAAGGCAATAGATTTTTGTATACTGATTTTGTATCTGCAAATTTACTGCATTTGTTTTTTTTTTCTAGTAGTCTTTTGGTGGAGTCTTTAGGGTTTTCTTTATATAGAATCATGTCATCTGCAAATAGTGACAGTTTTACTTCTTCATTCCCAATGTAGATGCCTTTTATTTCTTGACTTCCTATATATACTATGTTGAATAATGGTAGTGAGTGTGGGCATCCTTGTCTTGTTCTTGACCTTAGAGAACAAACTTTCAGTTTTTCGCCACTGAGTATTATATTATCTGAGAGTTTGTTATATAAAAGTATGGGTTTTATTACATTGAGGTACTTTCCTTCTACATGCATTTTATTGAGTTTTTTAATTCATAAATGGATGTTGTATTTCCTAAAATGCCTTTTCTGTTTCTGCTGGTATGATCATATGGTTTTTATCTTTTATTTTGTTGATATGGTGTATCACACTGATTGATTGCACATGTTGAATCATCCTTGCATCCCTGGAATGAACCCCACTTTATCATGATGCATGATCCTCTTAATGTATTGTTATATTTGATTTACTAGTATTTTGGTTAGCGTTTTTGCATCTATGTTTACCAGAGAAATTGGCCTACAATTTTTTCTTTTATAATAATTTTTTTTATGTGTTGTCCTTGACTGGTTTTGGTATCAGGGTAATGTTGGCCTCATAAAATGAGTTAGAAAGTATTCCCTCCTCTTTGATTATTTTTCAATAGTTTGAGAATGACAGGTATTAAATCTTTGAATGTTTGGTAGAATTCACCAGTGAAGCCAGCTGGTTCTGGGCTTTTGTTTTTTGGGAGGTTTAGGATTACTATTTCAACTTTCTT